TTGACGGAACTCAGGCTTTAACAGGAAAACATGTCAATGTTATTTCGCAAATAAAGAAATTCACAGTTGAAACTAAATCTACTCACTGCTCCATTCATCATGAAGCTTTAGTAGCCAAAACAATTCCCGAAAACCTGAAAATCGTTTTGTATCAAGCTGTCAAAATTGTTAGATTTATTAAAAGCCAAGTTTTAAATTCAAGAATATTTATGATTTTATGCCAAGAGACAGGTAATGAACATGAAACGCTTTTGTTACATTGCGAAGTAAGATGGTTCCAGAGGCAAAGTTTTAAATTGTCTTTTTGATCCAAAAATAATTTGAAAATAAAAGAAGAATTAGCATCTAATATTAAAAATATTTGTTTTTCATTCATAAATTTCAATATGTATTTTCTCATGGATTATGAAAGAGAAAATTGGATTAGACATCAATTTTGTTCAAATGCACTCATTTTATCTTATGAAGAAAATTAACAAGTGATAGAAATTTCCTGTGATTGAACTCTAACTGAAGATTTAAAAAATAACACACTTTTAAACTTTAAACTGAATCAAAAAAAAAATTAAAGGCATTTCAGATAAAGCTATTAAATTTTTATTGCCTTTTTGTACAACTTATTCACATGAACAAGGATTTTCTTCCCATGTTATATTTGAAAAATAAATACATGACAAAATTATAAGTGGATCCTAATTTGCAGTTAAAACTAAATGAAATAATACCAGACATAGAGAAACTGATCTATCTTAAAACGGCCCAAATTTCACACTACATTTTACTGTTAAAGTATTATAATTTAAATTTTGATACTTAAAATGGTAACCAATTTTTAATCTAATATTTTTTATGTCTGCATATATAATACAAATAGCCAATAGGTTGTGCAAATGGCAATATATATATATATATTTTAATATTTCTACTGAGAAACTGAAAAATAATCATTGTAAAATGTAGTGGTGGTATTAAAGTTTTTCAATTTTTATTTAGATGGTACATGTTAGTCAAAAGGTTGAGAACTGCTTCTCTAGGACATTCACTGCATACAGTCAAAAGTCGTTAATCCGGACTCGTCGGGACTTCGGCGATTCCGGATTAAAGATCATCAGTTTAAATCTGGTAAGATGGCATGCAGAAATTATAAAATTAAAAATATGAAACCATAATTTATGAAATAAAGAACAATTATGATCTAAAGGGTATCAAAATTTACAAAAAAAAAAAAAAGCTTAATATATTATTTGTTTACTTTATTAAACATTTCTTTCAATGTAAGTTGTTTAAGTTGCTTTCGTTTTATGTGATAACACTTTCTCTTTAATTCTATAAACAGACATAATTTCTTGTTCAGTTACAAAGTTCCGCTGTTCAAGTCCTATAATTGCTGTGTCGAGAATACCGACTAATTTCTCAATCAAAATTTTTTCGTTTTCAATAACCTCTGTGTCACTTTCTTCACTATCGGAAGCGAATTATAATGACGAGGAATTTGATTTAAATCATATCAAAGACGGAGTACATTGAGATGAAATACTACATTTAGTAAGAAATTATAAGCCGAATAAAATAAAAACATCTGCCCTGAAGATAAGGATAGTGCTGACAGATCAACTTCCAGTTCATTGCGCGCCGCGACGTTCCCCTTCCCCGCAGAGCAGCATGAAATTGATAAACAGATTTTGGAATGGCTAGAGAAACAAAGGATATGCCTTTATCCATTTTTTGCAGCAATTCCACTTTTTGTTTAATGGACATCGAAACATGCTTTCGCTTTGTAGATCCTTTGGGAGCTCCAGCATCGGAAATTCTATTTGACATAATCGAAAGTTCAAGCTTACTTTTATAAAATTGCTCTAACAGTCTGCAAAAAATAACAAGCCGGATCCAATTCGAAGATTAAGGAACAACGCAATCTGCAACATTACCTGAAATAGATAATTAGATAATTTTATTTTATACCGTCCTTTATACATTAAACGTGCATGCGTAAACGTATTATGTACATGCACACACGCAGCCGTAAAGGTCTTACGCGCATGCGTCGCATTGACACAATGCAATAACAACTTTCTGCGTATGCGTCGCGTTGACGCATGCGCAGAAAGTTTGTAGCTTTGATGTCCGGATTATGGGTGTCCGAATTAACGACTTTTGACTGTATAAGTTCCATATATAAAAATATTAACATGGATAAAAAAAGCAGGACTAACTTCCAATAACTTCACATACATCTGGTTTCAGAAGAACTATATATCACCAACACATTTTTAAACAAACGAACAAAACGAAAGATACATTGTACTTTCTACATATACAGTGACTCACAATGAGAATTTTTTAATAATATCTATAAATTTTTCGTAGCAAAAATACACTAGTTATTTTATAAACATTGTAAAACTTTTTGGAAAATTCATTAATAAAAAAGTGGCAGAAAAGTTACCCCACAAAAGTCTTCTCTGAAAATCTGCACATATTAGTAAATATTGTAGTATTTATGTCGATAATATATTGAAGGATATCTTGCAGCACTTATGAAAACTTTCACACATCTGGGCAAAGAGTTAACCAGTTTTTTTTTTTTTTTTTTTTTTTTTTTTTTTTTTTTGGTAATATCTGCATCAACGTTCCACCATTCTTCCATCATTCCTGTTTTTAGTTCAGTTTACATTTTTATGTTGTGTCTTCATACTCTAAACCAGTGATTCTCAACCTTTTTTTTACTGCGGCACACTTTTAACAATTTCAAAAATTTGGCAGCACACAAAGAAAAAGATAATTTTAAAAGTTGTTTACTGACCTATAATACACTGTGTAAAATAGTTTACGATACTAATTTTGACTGTAAAATATGTACTACAAAAACAGCAGTACGTTTATTAAGGGATTAATTACAAGTTAATAAAAAAACTACTTTTAATGAGAAATTTGAGCTTGATGTTTTTGATAATTTCATTTATATTTGGACGTACAGATGACAATGCTACTCTTATATCGTTTTCTACATTTAACAGTCTTGATCTTTGTTTTGTTTTTATATTGGTTAATACTGAAAATAACACACAAAAATAAGATGTAGAAAACTGTAATAATAATTTTAAAGCTTGTTTTGGCCATCTTGGGATAATTGCATCTAATATTAATCCAAAATGAATTAATTGATTCTTCTGAATATTTTAAAATTAAATCTTGATTATCAGAAAGCAAAATTAGTTATTCCTCTTTGTTTAAAGTTAATTCAAATACAAAAGTCTTCAGCACCAAAATCGACTTAGATACCATAATTGGTACGTTTATTAATGTCTTAAAAACTGAATTTCACCAATTCTCATGTGTACTGTATACTAAGATTAAACCCATTATAATTTTTACTACGTACATTTCTAAAATTTGGTGGTACACAAAAGTGCCGAGGCACAATGGTTGAGAATCACTGCTCTAAACTGTAATTGTCTCCAGGTGCAGTCTATCGGGTTTTAATCTAGTGAATGAGGTGGTGTTTTTAGAGTATGTGGATAATTACAGACACACCAAAGGCTAACATTGAGGGCCATGCTTAGGATTGTTATCCTATCCTGATTTTAAAAAAAAAATTTTTCAATATCCAAATTTTGGGAAGATAATTTTAAGTTATCTTTTAAAATATTTCAACAAAGAGCATGGTTCATTATGTGATCAATTAACATTAAATTACCTAATCCTGATTCTGACATGTAACCTCGCACTAGGACACCTCCCCCGCCATGCTTTACTGTACCAAACTAGGTCTTGGGATTAAGTTATTCATTTTTCCCTCTCCATAAAATTATATGCCCATTCAAACCTAAAATGTTAAATTTGCTTTCGTCCGCAAATAAGACATGGTTTTGATACGCTTCAGGCTTATTTACTGTTGATTTTGTGAAGAAAAGAATAAGCTTTCTAATTATTGTGCTCAGAAAAAATTTTCTTCGAACTGAGCGTCCATGTAATCCAGCTGATCTGAGTACTTGTCGAACAGTTTCAGGTGAAATTGAAGCAGAAAATTGTTCAGTAAATTCTGTAGAAATCTTTAGATCATTCAAACGTGGATTTTTTTACAGATTTTCTAACTATAAATCTCTGATAACATACATATATACATCTGATACATTGAATTAACTTTGCTGGACGACGTACTTTATTTTCGATCTGATGTTCTTCTTTAACGCATTTTAACACATAATGCACCGTAGAATAAGATAAATTCACTAATTCAGCAATATCCTGGATCTATTTTACACCCTTCTGATGAAAAATGATAAATATTTGAGTGATATTTATTGTTTAAGACTATTACAAATTTTTAAATATTAATTAAATTATAACGAAGTAAGCAAACAAAGAATAAAGCCAAACCAATTTTTAAACGTCAACAAAATGCAAAAAACAAAAAACAACAACAAAAAAAAAAAAAAAAAAAAGAGTGTCACACTATAAATTTATTAATGAAGTTTTACGAAAAAGTTTTCGTGCACTTTTGTGGCATGTTTTATCTATGACTCCTTACATGGAGTCCTACATAAATATGGATATGGAGATGATATGAAAAAATATTTTGCTTTACATTCGAATTTAATTCCGGGATACACCGCTTTTTCTACAAATTCTTAAAGTGTTCAAACACTTTTTGGAGCAACTGCATATATAACTTGAACTACGAATCACATAAGCTCATAAAATAGCATAAAAATAAGTGCAGCTTTTTATATAAGTTTTTTCCAATGTTTTAAATTACATTAAATAGCTACGACTTTAATACAGAAAATTTTTCCTTTCACATTTTGTGGGGCATTATAATGATAAAATATAGCTATCAATCGTGTAGTAAGTAATGGGATAGTAAAATATTATTAAAACATACATCATGTGTAAAATAACACTTAGTTATTTAATATTAAACGAAATGGAATTCAGTTTAAGACGAATACGTTATATAAACACGAAGTATTTAACTTAAAGAAGAAACAAAACTCACCAAAATTTTAACAAATATACGTCTTCAACACATGCTTCTACCGGAAAGAAATTTCTACAGCAATTATGATAACACATTACGAAATACTTATCAGCATTCGCTAGATTTCCTCTGACACAATTGATGACTAGATAAAGAACGGGATTTCCCACAAACATCATTACTACATTAATGAAAAACACACCTGACAACATTAGCATGTCCAACACCAATTCCATTGACCAATAGATGGCGCTGGTAATGTCTTTGCTCCTGAGAGTGATTCAAAAAGTTTGCAAAGTTATTCAAAACACTAGATTTGATTTCAAATGGCTAATTTTTGAAATTTATGAAAGCAGATAGACAGGTAATTAAAGAAATAAAAGTAAAACTAATTTTAATAATAGAAATACTGCACCAATAACACTTACATTCTCGCATAATCTTTGTGAAATATCTTCCTAAGAGTTTCTAAGATTATGTAGGTTTCTAACAAATGGACACACAGCCAAAGAATATGTATTTCTGAGAAAAGGACACACAGCATTTTCGCAAACAACTTATTAGTGCGAAAACAAAACAGAGAACTGTTTCGAGTACATGTTTGCCCTTCGCTTTCTCCGGCGAAAGAAAATACACCTGGGTATGAATTTTGTCAATCTGCATTCTAGAGTCACAACTGCAAAGAAGTGTCTGATGATTTTTCACTATATTTTCGTACCATTTATTGCTATTATTTCAAAGACACCAAATGTAATCTGTAAGGTACTGTATTGGAAATTGCATTTGTAAAATTTATCGCAGTACTTTCTCAAGAAAAATTTCAAACCTAATCAAAAATGAAACAGAGAATGTGATACCGATAGCTGATCGCCCATATGTCCTCTTCTAAGAGTTATTGCAAACTGTTCTTCTAACTCGACTGCAAGTTTCATAGCATTAATATTTGGATTATACTTGATTTTTCGTAAAATAAGTCCCGAATTCCTTCATTTTAGATTGGAATATAGTGCAGAATTTAGTGTATTTTGAACAGTTCCACACAGTTTCCACCGTTTTAATACATCAAGGATAGCTGAAGTCTTTACACGAAGGATTATTCCTCCCCTCCAGAGATGTTTCGACTACTTTCACCATATTGAAAATGATGAATATTTAAATATCGGATAAGGATCGGAGAACAGCCTTGGTTGCCCTAACTTGGCTTCTTTAAAGGATATGGGCGACATTTTATTATGCCAACGGAAGTAAATATCGTGTGGGGAATAAGTGCTAGGGAGAAAAGGAAAATATATGGAGAAAAATGAGATTGAGATGTGTTTATATTTATTTGGCATCTGATTCCTAATTTTGTTCTGTTATGTTGCTAAATTAGCATTAAAAGTCGAATGATGTGCGTCTATTGAGAAAACGCATGGCAATTACTTTTCGATAACATTTTATACATGTAATAATATATATCACATTCCTGCTCATATGATCTACATATGTATCAGATAACTAGCTACTTTTGACACTTATTTCTGGATGTGTATTATTTTATAACTTTTTCTGCTCTGAAAACCCAAGCGTCCTGCCGTGTTCACTTCAGATATGAAACTCTTCAACAAGTAAAAACTTCTAAAAAAATGCTTGTTGTATGTTTTCATTTAAAACAAAAATTATGAAAAGAAATTTCATCTGTTAAAGTATTTTAACAGTTTTCAAGTGCCCGAATTATTATGTGAGTTAGCGACTAATGCATTTCGAATAAATTTTGCAACAAGCATGGCTGAATCTTAGAAAAATATTTTGAGTCTATGTTTCAATATATAGTACAAGATCTATGCAAATAAATTTCAGAAATACAATGGTTGAAAACAAACGTCAGTCGCTGTGAAACTCTGCTAAACTTTTTTTAATTATGTATTTTTAGATGAGCAATTTCATAACATGTATATATGTTCGAAAAGCTGCGAGTTCGATGTTTCCAAGACCTTTCTAGTATATTCTCAAGATTACTCAACAAATTATTGTGGATTTACTAAATTTTCGAAGGAGAAAAAAGTGATAATAGAAAATTAGAACCCCTTAGCCTTAAGGATTCTGACTTCATATAATCAATTTTGAAATGGCAAATTTGATAAGATCAATATACCTATTGGAAAAGTGAAACTTCCCCAAATCCCTTAATCTTTCTCTGCTTAAAGATCGGGGGGGGGGGGAATCCATCGCGGTTGAACTCTGAACTTGTAAAAAACTACAGAAAGGTGTTTCCTTCTTTAAAGAAACTCACATATCGTTGAGCCTTTGAAAAAAATTAGCCAGTTCAGAACAGTTTATCATTTTAACTATCAATAGCTCCCTGCCTAATTACTGGCCTTTATGTTAGCCAGTTTATTGCCGTCATGCTGAAGTTTCCTGATATATATATTTGATGGATGATGCTCCTTGAAAATTTCCTTCATTTAGTTATTCGTACAAGCAATTTTACATCACAAAATCTACAACATTTTGTACTCTTCGTAATGTTACTTGATATATCTTGAATCAAGCTCAGAGCCGTAACTAGGACTTCCAGCACCCGGGAAAAATTGAAGATTTCACGCCCTCTCCTATTTGCCCAGAATGGAAAACATAATCATTCTAAAATTTCTGAACAGCAGTTGGGCGCTGCCTGAATGCTGTGCCCGGGGACAGATGTCCCCCTCCGATCAAGCTAGAGCAAAATCACTCATGCACTCACTATTCACACCTTTTCGGTCTACAAATAGCGAGACTATTTGCAAGAATGTCAGCGTCTCTTTACATCTCAGGATTATAATTCGGCAACGGAGATGAAATGATATGGGTGGAACTGGGATTTTAAAAACTCCTTAATCACTACCCAAAACAATCCCCTCTGCGAAGAAGTTTCTTCAAACTTTGGTTGACGAATGCACCATTTGCAACGGATCAAGGATCAAGGAAGTGCAATTTACCGAGTTCATAGGCAATTACGCCTTTACCTCCACATCTTCAAAGGAAATTAAATCATCCGAAAGAGGGTATTGTCAAATAGGGTAAAAATTTTGATAAGCCGAATGTCTTGGAGTAAGTGCCTTCACACTGAGTCAAAAAAAGGCAAAAAACTCAGAAGGTCTTAATTTTGCGCCGAAAAAGGGCCAGAATAATTTAGATAGGGGCAGCCAGTAAAAATTTTGACTAGAAAAATAAAAGGTGAAGTTTCCTTGAACCTTGATAATCATTTTCTTTGCATACGTCAGATGAAGAATACGCAGGGGAATTCCGATGCGCGTTCTTCGAGGTGGGAGGGAGGGGGGGGGAGGGAGGGGGGAACCTGTTTACAGGTCGAAAAAGTAGTTCTGTCCAGTGATCAGCTGGGAGGGAGAAGTTTCATTTTTGACCGCTATTCAATGCGGTTTTTAAAAGGCCAAAAAGGACGCTGTTAAGCGCCTAAGAAAATTCCTTTTTAAAGGAAGAGAGAAGTTAAAGAATCTTTTTCAGTTTAAAAAAATCTTTTTCAGTTTTATTGTAATTGATAGATTAAAGTATGTTAAATCAGTCCTATTTGACTGTGATGTTTCTTATTAAAGAAACGTTAAAGGAGGTTCCTCGAGTTAATGCCGTGTGCATTAAAGAACTTTAGAGGCGGGGGGGGGGTTAAGGAACGAGAGGTAGTTATTCACGTGGCTATCAGTGTGCTCATATCTAGCCCGTTTAAATGGCAGAGCTGAATATTCCCTGTTAAGAACCGCTCTGGGTCTTTTCCGGGAAGAAGCAACAGCAGGATCGTATACGGGTAGCATATGAAGCACAGGATTTGCAACACGTTGAATATTTTTGAAAAATTTTTCCGAAAGTCGCTGTATATAGCGATTAATGGGCATAATTTTGAGGTCGTTATGAATCTCTTCGTTCCGTACAAACCACGGAGCTTTTAGAATTTGCCGAAGCATTTTAGATTGAAAAATTTGGACATGTTTTCTGTTAGTCAGTGCACATGGGCCCCATACGGGACACGCATACGTAAGAACCGGCCTAATCATTGATTTGTAGAGCAAGATTTTGTTATCAGTTGACAGGTCGCTATGACTAGCTAAGAGGGGGCGTAGGGCGGTTTTGACAGCTGTCGCACCCGCTATGATTTTGCGGATGTGAGGCTGCCAAGTTAATTTTGAGTCTAGTAAAACACCTAGATATTTGTAAGAAGAGACCCAGGGAATGGGTTCACCGAAGAGCATTAAGTTAGGTAAACATGGTGGCAGCACATTTTGCGACATTAATTTTGATTTGATACAGACCGAGCCAGAGTTCTAAGGTCGAAAGGTAACTCTGCAATTGTGAGATTACCTGGAGGGTGTTGGAGTGTTGAGAAAAATGATGGCTGTATCGTCTGCGTATAATGCGCAAGATCGATATTTGGGGCCTTAGGAATATCATTTACATAAAGGTTAAAGATTGCGGGGGCGAGGAGACTTCCTTGAGCCACCCCAGCATAGATTGGGCGGGGAGAGGAGAATTCGTGGTTAACTCGCACGCGGAAACTGCGTCCGGTCAAGTACGAGTTAATAATTTTAATGAGATGAGCCGAAAAACCAAGCCGCATGAGCTTGTAAATAATCCCGTCATGCCAAGTCCTGTCAAAGGCTTTGGCAACGTCTAGATAGACAATTCCAGTTTTCTCTCGCTTACGAAAGCCTTCATGAATGAATTCCACTACACGGAGTAACTGGTGTACCGTGGAGTGTTTAGGTCGGAAGCCGAATTGTTCCGGGATTAGTAAATTTTGATCCCGACAGAATTCATTCAGGCGATTAAGTAAGACAAATTCATAGATCTTAGAGAGAGAAGATAACAGACTTATGGGTCTGTAATTGACGGGCAGGTTTAAATTTTGTCCCGGTTTTGGAATGGGGACGACTGCTGCAATTTTCCAGCAGTCGGGGAAATAGCTTCTCCTGAGCATTAAATTTATGAGTACCGTGATCCATACGATAAACATAGGGGGGAAGTTTTTGATCATGCGATTCGAAATAGAATCTATGCCAGGTGCCTTGTCAGGTTTCAGTTTGTCTAATGAAAACCATGACTTCAGTAGGGTCCGTTGGCCTGAGTTCAGTTGTGATAGGTTGTGTTAAAAAATCTTTAACCCGTGCTTGTATGCGCCCCTGTGTAACCGGGCGGTT